TAGGAATTCCACATTGAAATATCTGCAATCTCCCCAATCAAGGGTAATTTACATATCAAACATAGTCACAATGGAAAACATGATTCCTCGGAAACTGGAATGAGGTACAAAATGCCTTCATTATTACAGCAGTTTTTCAGTTAAATTTTAGTGTCCATAAGTTAATGAATAATCACTGTTAATGAATGATGAATAAGTGAAGTGGATTTTATTACTTGAATGAGGTAACTTAGCTGTCTCTAAGTCTCACTCTTAAAAAATGGTATTTCTTTATTATTAAATTACTTTCTAGCTAAGAATGGCTGCACAGAGTTAAAGGAGATCCTTAAAAATGATACGTCATTCAGTTCAGGGTATAAGTTTGTAGTAGAACATAGGGTAACAGAGAAGTGTTGGTTTCTATGTTGGCAGTGAAATGAGTCAGGAACAGTATTTTGATATTAACTAATGGTGATGGCAGTATAAGTTAAGTTACTTAACTACACTTTACTTAATTTTCTCCTCCTCAGTTTTCTTATCTGCAAAATGGGAAGAATACCTATATTTAATCTACCACCACCTAGGTTATCACAAAGAAGTCAACCCAGCCCATGCTAAGCATTCAAAAAAAAAAGTTAAAGGTTACCATTACTATCACTATTACTACTACAAACCAGCATCACTGATTCTAACCCATTTGCTTACCAATCAAGGCTGATTGCAGGGTCTGTAGCAGAGCTAAAGCCACTCTGCAGAAGGAAGACCAGGCAATCTACTTCCGTAAAGACTTACCACCTCGGAAACCCAAAGGGGGTCGAATATGAGTCAGAATCAACTCAATGGCAAGGAATTTGGTTTTGGTTTGGGACTGACTTGTAGGCCTGTGTGTCAAGGGAGAAGTTTGCTCATCCCTGCTGGCCACACCTCAGCTGAGTTCAGAAGGCAAGGCGGAAGTAAATTCTGCCAACATTAAGGTCCTAACAGCCTCTGAATCTAATTATGTGTCAAGAGAGAATTACAAATAATCTGTGCCAGCTGAATAAATACCAGCTATGGGAAGAGGACAAGTACCAGAAACTTGCTGGACAAGTAGCAACAGGAAGTGAGTCTGTGATAACAAAGCAGTCTAAAATCATTAGCATAATAAATAAACCACCCTCAGATAAAGAGTAGCACTTAGTAGGTATTACTTTTTTCACATGTAATATACACATTGTAAATTGATAGCATTACTTCCCACAAAGAATTCTGAGACCGAAATCCTTTTAATTATGATCAAAGACCATCGCTTTACAAGTGTCAATCTGATAACTCGTCATCACAGTCAGGTACATGCTCCTCTGGTACAACTGGTTAACCACTTGGCCTCAACTTTAGCCAGCTCGCTTCAGGTTGACTCTGACTCAAGGTGACCTATGTGTGTCAGAGTAGAACTGTGCTCCATCAGGTTTTCAATAGCTGATTATTAGGAAGTAGATCACCAGGCCTTTTTTTGCAAGGCACTGTTGGATGGACTCAAACCGCCAACCTCTTGAGCTAGCAGCTAAGCACATTAACTATTTGTGCTCCTTCTTCTGCCATAAAAAGGGCCTTGTAAGCAGGATTTGCAATATAGTTTGCAGAGCCAAGCACAAAATGAAAATGAGGAGCCCCTTGCTCAAAAAGTGTTAAGAACTTCCAGACAGTGACAGATGAGTATTAAACCTAGTGTGGGGCCCTTTGAGTGCAGGGCACTGTGCCTACGTACAGGTGCACACTCCCGAAACCAGCCCTGCTTGGAAGGTCTCATCCAGTATGTTTATACGTTTTTTTTCCAGCCATCAGTCTTAGAAAGCTGGTGGGTGAGCCCCACATGTTGGAGTGATGCAGCATGAATGTGTTACTCACCACTGTTACTGCATCATTCAGCAATGACTCGCCAAACACCAGGATGTACAGTTGCTCATTGACATGAATATTCTCGAAGACAGCAAGCACAGCCACGGGGTCTACAGCTGAGATTAAGCTGCCGAAGAGCAGATTCTGGAGCAAAGTGATGTCACTCAAGCCAAATGCTTCAATCTGGCAGATACCAAACAAAGATACTCCAATGCCAATGGAATTCCAAAGTGTCCCTACCACAGCATACCAGAAAATGGTGCCAATGTTCTCAAAGAAAGGGCGAGTTGGCATGAAATAGCCCGCATCAAGTACAATGGGCGGAAGGAGATACAAGAAAAATACATCAGTCTTCATCGCAGGCGGAGATTTTTCCTCTACTCCAAAAATAATCCCACCTAGTAGAAGTCCAACCATTATAAGAAGGCAGCTTTCAGGCACTATTGTGGGCAACTTGTGATAGAGATGGAAACCTGTAAGGAAAAAATACACATAAAATTTGGAACGTGCAGGAATTATGGAGAGGGTTATTGGTTCTCTTTAACATGACAATTGGTCTTATTTCAAAATCTCCCAGGTTAGTAAAATTGGCTATTGACTGGCTTTACGGATTATTATTCAAAAGTCAAATGATTCCCTTAAAGCCATTCCAAACCATATTAAAGCAAAAATTAAAGTGTAATCAGAAATAGAATGCTATATATGCATAATATTTATATAGTGCAGTTTTTTTTTTTTTCCATTTGTGTAAACTCCAATTATGTTTTCTTGGTTATTAGGGCAGGAATAGAATAAAACAATGCTATTTTATATTTGATTATGAGAATAGCACAGGCTGGGCAGTGCTCCATTCTGTTGTACATAGGGGTCACCATGATGGGGAACTGATTTGATGGCACCTAACAACAACAACAACAACAACATTTTATATTTAAGGAGACCTGGTTGCACAGCAGTTAAAGTGCTTGGCTACTAACACTTTGGTTGGTGGTTCAAACCCACTAGCTGCTCTGTGGGAGAAAGGTGTGGCAGCCTGCTCTACAGCCTGGGAAATCCTATGGGGCAATTCGACTCCGTCTTATTGAGTTGCCATGAATCAGAATCAACCTGATGGGAATGGGTATTTTTGATTGGTGGTGGTGTGGTTAAGTTCTAATTTGCTAACTGAAAGGTCAGCAGTTTAAACCCACTGGCCGCTATGCAGAAGAAAGATGTGACAGCCTTGGAAATTCTATGGGGCGGTTCTACCCTATCCTATAGGGTCATTGTGAGTTGGCATTGACTCAATGGCAACAGGTTTCGTTTCTTTGGTTTTGGTATATTTGAGACTGTTTGGTTATTTCTGAAGCAAGTTTAGATGTAACATTACATTTACTCTTCATAAAAACCCTAAAGAGTAAGCAAGTTTCTTTTTTATTATTACTTAAACGGAAACTGAACTCAAAGTGATACAGGGTCTTGCCAAGGTGACAGGTTTGGATTACTGCTGTCACATCTGACATTCATGATAACTTATAACTCACTTAATTTTATTTTTTACTTTCAGCTTCCTTCATTTGACATGGTGAACTATGTCTAATTTTCAAGACGTTTGTTCCTTCATAGTCAACCCAATCAATTCATACAAGGTACATCAGGTAGCTATGTTTTGAAGGCTACAAAGATAAGTCTATCACTATGTCCAATCTCAGAAAGGCTTTCAATTAAGGCAAAGGAACTGATAATTTTATGTCTTGACTAACTCTAGTACAAGGCAAAGCATAATAATGTCCTGATCAAGTGCTGTGGGATTACAGAGGAAGAAGAAGTCTACTGAGGAAGTATTCGTGGAGGACTCATCACCTGGGCAGAGCTTAAAGGAGAGACAGGCACTAAGCACATAATGGGAAGTCATAATGAGTCATCTAGAAAATGAAAGGACTCGCTGGGTGGTGTAGGTAGTTAATGTGCTTAACTGCTAACTGAAAAGTTGGCAATTCCACCCTACCCAGAAGTTCCTAGAAAGAAAAGCCTGGTGAGCTACTTTCAAAAACCAACCATTAAAAACTCTACAGAGCACAGGTCTACTCTGACACACATGAGGTCACCATGACTCACAGTTGACTCAGTAGCAGTTGGTACTAGTGAGAAATGAAATAATAGAGGAACATGTATTTCTTCTACAGAGATCATGTTGTTAGGGCAAGGCCTAGAGCAAGAAAAGAAGGGGAGATGGGGGTTGGGCCAACACAACATGCTGGCTACATGGAAAGTAACTTCACCCATGGAAGGTTACATGACAGGTTCAGTGAGGACAGCCCTTATCTGCTGCTAGGCAATAGCAAGATGTCACAAAGGCATTCAGTGCATTTTGGAATTCAAGCATCACATCAAATTTATCTGCATTATAAGAAAAGAATACTAAAATGATAGAGTAAGTCTTTAGAAACTTATGACCACAAACATTTTAATCAATAAATCTCTCAAACCTAAAGAGAGTGCTAAAGTCATAGCATGAAAGAGTGGATAATTTTTTTTTAAAGTAATAGTCATCATTTGAAGAGACTTGAATTAATTTCTAAATACCAAAGTGAACATCTGTATATTGGATATTCACATAAATTAGTAAAATGATCCTTTATTACTCATATTATAGCTGTTGTTATAGTTGGGTGCCATCAACTTGGTTCCAACTCATAGTGACCCTACGCACAACAGAATGAAACACTTCCCACTCATGCACCATTTTCACAATTGTTGCTATGTTTGACACCAGTATTGTAGCCACTGTGTCAATCCATCCCATTGAGTCTTCCTCTTTTTTGCTGATCCTGTACTTTATCAAGCATGATGTCCTTCTCCAGGGACTGGTCCCTCCTGACAACATGTCCAAAATACATGAGACAGTGTCTTGGCATCCATGTTTTGAAGGAGTATTCTGGCTGTACTTCTTCCAAGACAGATTTGTTTGTTCTTCTGGCAGTCCATGGTATATTCAGTATTTTTCATCAACACCATAATTCAAACACATCACTTCTTCAATCTTCCCTATTCATTGTCCAGCTTTCACATGCATATGAGGCGAATGAAAATACCATGGCTTAGGTTGGCCAAATCTTAGTCTTCAAAGTGACATCTTTGCTTTTTAACATTTTAAAGATCTTTTACAGCAGATTTGCCCAATGCAATACATATCTTGACTGCTGCTTCCATGGGTGTTGATTGTGTATCCACATAGCAAGCTCCAATAATTGGTGGGGATTTATATCTCAACTGTTCCTCTTTACCCATGTCCTCGGGCCCTATGGCCTTACTGTCATAGAAGTAAAAAAGTCCATTGAAAATGACATATTTGTAACTGCGTTTCACATTGACTCCTGTAGCTTTACCATAGCCACTTTCATGGTGTGATAAGATGGCCAATAACAGCTGTCCCCAAATCCCCTGGGTCCTAGTGCAATAGCCTCCTTTCTGAAATGAAGGCCCAACCCAAACGTTTCATGTCAACAAGCTTTAGCAGCTACCATCTAATGACTAGGATTTGGATTTCAAATGCCAGCTCTTCACTTTCTGACTGGTGCAATGTGTTACGGATTGAATTTTGTTCCCTAAAGATATGTTGTAAATTCTAAACTCTATGCTTGTGAATGTAATCAAATTTGGGAATAGGTTTTTCTTTGATATGTCAATGAGCCCAAATCAGTGTAGGGTGTGTTTAAAAAATCACTCTTGACACATAAAAAGAACAGGTTAGGCACAGAAGCAAGTGAGGGCAAATGGAAAAAAGATTGATGCCACTTAGAAGTCTCCAGGAAGCAAGAAAGGGAAGCTGAAAGAGACCAGGATTTTTACTCAGAGGGGACAGAGAGACGCTTTTGTGAGAGCCAGTGCCCTGAATTTGAACTTTTATCTTCCTAAAATGTAAGAAGATGAACTTCTGTTCATTGAAGCCACCCATTTCTGGTATTTCTGTTATAGCAGCACTCAGAAACTAAGACTGTGGATAAGTTAAAATTGTTTAACTGGTCGAGTCCCAATCTGCTCATCTGCGAAATAGGGCAAGTATACCTACCACGTACAGTAATGATAACTGTATTGATGACTGCCCAGCACTTAAAACCACGGTGCCCACAACATCACACAAACCAGAAACCAAACCCATTGCCATTGAGTC